CCCCCCCCCCCAAAAAAAAAAAGAAGAATAAAATAAAATAATCATAATAATTACATAAATAAAATGTATAGGTCAATGACTTGAAGTAAGGTTTATTTTACCTTGAATGAGTACAAAACGAATAGTTGGCGGTGACCTTCCATCCCGCTGTCATAGTTGACGAGCAAAGATAAACGAATCACAATGTATCGTCGTTGGCTGTAATCGATTAACGAGGGGATCATTGAAGGACACGACACGACTGGTTTTAAAATTTAAAAAAATAATCTTTGATTCGTCTGGGATTTGTTTGCTTCTTCTTCTCATATCTTCTCATATTTGAGGGCCCACGATCAATTTATTGATCATTCTGTCTTCTGGTTTGAATTCAAAGTTTTCTCTCTCTTAGATGAGTTGCCGAAGAAGGCTAGCGAGTCCCTAGCACACCCGGAGATGTTTCTATTTTTGGTGATGGAAAAACACTACAATTGTTCTGAACTATTTGCTATATGCGATTGATGGGATATTATATGAGGATTGTGTTCAAGCCGTGTGAAGATAAATAAAAATTATAATGGGACAAGATATGGTTAGTTTTGAACAGAAAAAGGCAATCGAAATAAATGGATGTTTTGATGAGTTGCCTTCTTCGTTAGACAATACCGAATAAGAAAAAAAAGATAATCCAGTTTTTTTTTTAAATGCGCTCAAAGAATCTCAAAGCGCTCCCTGTTCTGAGCATGGAGTCACGTTGACTTCATTTAGATTTGTCAAATTTCATATTTTTTTCTATTTGTACTTTTAAATGATCTGTTCTTTCTTGAGTTTGTATCGTCTGCTGAAGAGTCCATTTCTTTTTTTGTTTTGTTTTATATACAAATGACTTGTTTTGTTCTATTCTAAGTTGCATCGTTTCTTGTTTACCTCTTGATTTCGTTCTCAAATTAACATGGACACCTGTTGCCATATGCATACTCTAAGAGGTGTGCAGAGTGCGGTCATGTCATCGCAGACTTGTTATCCAGCTAGAAAATGTCATCTTATTCTAGTGACATCACGCAAATTTAATTTTCAACATGAGCAAAACAACCCTAAGCTTCGGCTCCTTTCACCTGCAAACAGTGTTTTGTCGTGTCACGTCGGAACTTTTCGAAAACAACATCCTGGCATTTGGCCTGGCCCGATCTCTCAACAGCTGTTGGACACTTTAGGGTTAACGTACATAAGCAGATCGTGTTTTAACCTAGACGAAATCCTTTTGTACAACGTTATTTGACGAAATTTTTTTACAATACAAAATTTTAGTGCTGTATGTATAATAAAATACATTGGTATCTGCCATGTTTTTACAAAAAATGTGTCTAAATATAGTTACATGACGTCAAACGATGTAACGAGTTACAGTCTTAGAAAAGAAAAAAAAAACGTATGTATCGGGCTGTTTGGGATGTTTTGTTTCGGTTTGAGAATACTTGTAACATGATACCGGTGTCTTCTACGACTCAATTTCCATACCTGACGGGTGGGCATGCTCAAACGGCAACCCGGGGCTGAAATCATTTGAGCGTGACAACCTTACGAATTCAAAATGAAAGTTTTACGTCCAGGATTTTGTCATGTTTGATTGAAGGACCCGGTAACAGAAGACGATTTTAACTTACACGCTTGACTTGTTTTCATTTTTAAAGTTAAAAAAAAAAGTTTTATAAAGAAAAAACGTTTTGTATAGAAGAAAAAAATCCGGAGTCTTGGGGTTTCCCAAAACGCGGGGGGGGGGGGAGTTAAACCAAGGACCGTGACCCTCTCCTTCCCCCCATCCCATCAGCTATTCTGCTTGCTTAAAGATTTCCCTTTAGGCGGGGATCATGGTTTCAAGTTACGGGAGAGTTCCAAGAAATGAAAATGAAATCCAGCAAAGCATCACGAAAGAAGTAGACTGGACATAGAGGATATGCACAGAATGGCTTGTTGACACCCAATCCTATCGTACTCCCTGTTCCCCAAACAACGGGCTAAAATTGACACATTCACCATACCAGTAGCATAGCTAGCTGGGTTCAGTGCAACCGGGGCACATTAACATATTAGCAATCTACTTTACACAACATGTCCCTCTTCAATTACCCGAAAATGCAGCTCCTTTACCAAAAAAACAAACAAAAAAGGACCCCCAGTAGGAAACCAACCCTCCACCCTTCTAACCACCCCCCTATAGGAAACCAACCCTCCACCCCTCTAACCACCCCCTGTAGGAAACCAACCCTCCACCCCTCTAACCACCCCCCTGTAGGAAACCAACCCTCCACCACTCTAACCACCCTCTTCCTACGCCAATCAGTCACTCCAAGTTACTTAACGTGATAGACGCTTCAGTTCTGATCAATAAGACACAAATAATTCGTGAAAATGAAACAGCATAGTTCAGCTTTCATCTAGAAAGATCCGCCTTTAAGACAGTTTTTCCAGTTCTGGTATTTAAAAAAAAATAAACAATGGATCTCTTCATTGACCTACCCACTCCCGATACAATGCGTCTATCACAGTGGTTCTCAGCCTTCCTAAGCCCACGACCCTTTAATACAGTTCGTCGTGTGGTGGCGACACCTTTCAAAGGGACAGTACCAGCTCTGCCCAGCCATGCTTATGTCCCTTGCCTCTTCTAAAGATCATTTACCGGGGACGAACGTATCCTGTTAGGTGCTGGATGGTGCGCTCATTTTCACACTCTATAAATGCATTTGGCTTTTCGTGTTTTTGTTTCCTATAAATTCTTATAGTTTTGCAAGATTTCCGTGGTCTTTAGCAAGTAGACGGGATGGAGTACTTCCGAATGCTATATTTGCCTGTCGACGGGAAAGTGACCCACTGTTAACCGCAAATTCAAAGTGAAGACTTTCACTGTCAATGCCAACATTTTTTTCCCTTTGTCTACAGCGAATGGGAGTTTTCTTCCCACCTGAGCAGTGTTGAATTGCTAGTGCATATCTTTTCCAGTATTTCTGTTAAATACCCCTTCAGGGTTGTGCATAGAACTAATATGGCTGTGGACAATCTTAGATAACACGTCAGAAATTTTTTCTAACTTCGGCTGGCCACCATCAAGAGAAGGGGAAAGACAAGTAGGTACGACTCGTGTCTTTCAAGTACAATTTTATCCCCTTATCTGGAGGACCTACCCTTATCCACTACCTGGTGGGCATACATCGATCCAACACCCAGTGGACATTTCCCGACCCACCCCATGGTGGGCATTTCCCGATCCACCCCATGGTGGGCATTTTCCAATCCACCCCATGGTGGGCATTTCCCGATCCACCCCATGGTGGGCATTTCCTGATCCACCCCACGGCGGGTGTACCCCGAACAACCCCCTACCGATAAACATACCCCGATCCCCTGCAGTGGAAAATTAAAACAATTTCCGCTCAACTAGTTTAGTTTTTTTTCCTCTTTTTTTTTTGACTATGGTAAAACGTGGCAATGTGTGTAGCAAAGTTATAAATATTTCACGTAAGTTGATTATTATAAATATTTTTTTTTTCATTTGTATTAAGCATATCATATGATGTTAGCAATGCTTTTTTGTGATGGAAATTTTTTTTTTAAAGTTCATTTATTAACTATGTAGATAATCATTTAGAGGTTTTAATTTAAAAAAAATAATTAAAGCCACATACAATTTAGTATTATAAAAAATTTGTATAGCACATATAATCAAGCAGAGTTGTGAGTCGTCTTTTCGAGGCCCCCTTTTTGGTTTTGTCCTCCCTCCATCTTGTATTTTAAGATGGCAATATGAACATCCCATCTTAAAGCCCTAAAATTTCCGAGATCAACTGCAGTTGTAGGGATGGCTGAGCTCACACGATGTTTCTAAGGTTAGGTGACACCTACGCTGCAAATCTTAATTTTAAATATTTGCTAAAATGGATGTTTTTTAAAATTTATCAAAAATTTACTGGGGACTATAAAGATGTTATAGACGATATTAAGCTGGGGAAAATGCATGCCCACAATGACGCCTCAATTGGAATGTATTAAGCTCATCTCGGTCTGAAGCAAAGAAGAGATATTCCTAATTATGGCCAATTTTAGCGCTTCGCACAGAAAAGTCTCAAATCCCCTCCCCTCAAAATTGCCTGAAAGAAACAACAAATTCAAGTAGGCTATGCGCTAAAATGCACCCCTGCATTTTGAATATGTGCGACTGTCTTCAGCACCCTCATATTCTACATCCCTTCCCCCACACTGATCCATGTTACAGTATAGGGTTGAATATAAGCTTGTGCCAAATGATTACCCTGGGGCACGCCACAACCTGGGTGAATTCAGTTTATGTATGGCACTGAATGCCAGAATGTCTCTCTACCCCGGATGTTATAGTCTAAACGAAACACTGAATTCAGGTGTGCTTCAAAATGCACCTTTTTATGTTGAAATAATCCAACATTTAATGGGGAGGTCTCCCCAGACCCCTCCCCTTTTACCCATAAGCCAACAGTATCCTCAATTTCTGACCTTCTTCCCTAAAAAAATGACAGTACAGCTGGTGCTGGTCATAATGTTTGTTGATGACATATTCACTGTACTCAGTACTTTCAATAAATGATTTATTATATGGTTTCAATACTTTAAATAATTTTTTTTTCC